GTGGAGTAACGCCATCATATGGCCTCGATGAAGCCTGTGAGCTTGTCGAATGAGATGATGAGGATATATGAACACAATAACAGAAAGCTACGCCTCTCTCTTACTTTCACTATTTCTTCTGTCGTTCTTGTCCGGAGTTCTCCCAGAAACCCAAGTGACATGGTTCTCTACTGGATTAAGGTAACTTTCGCTCCACTCTGGATCGGGTACCAAACCCCCTTTCTGGTGATGCCTGGTACACTTAACCAAACGACTTAGTAGTAGTAGTACTCCATAGCCTAAGGCAACCAGGCAAATACTTCGGCTGGTCAGCTGTTGTTAATCCATGATCTTCTGCTTCGGTGTAACGACACCCATGCTGAGTTCCCTGCAGGCAAGGAGGACATGAAACTGTAAGTTTCCATCAGACTCATAGTCTCATATGAACCTTTTAGGTATCACACATGTTCCCAGGATCTCGACTATGCCTAACTTCGTTTAGAAATGAGGGAAAACCTGGACATGTCCTCACCGTCATCCATACTAGGTAGATACAGTATCTTGATTTCATGAAACAGCGTCATACGAGTCCGTACTAGGTTATCTTTACCTACCTACCCTAGCTGTATTCAGACCAAGCAAGATCCCTGTCCCGCAATCTCAGTAGTTACCAATCAAAAGCTGATTCCCCCACCATTTGCCATTCTGAAAGATCATTTTGATAATTTATTTCCTTCTTAGCCTCCTGCCAATGGTCCAATCACCGACCAAGTCGTCGCATCTTTCTTTCTGTTCGCTATCTCTGTTTTCTCCGTCCTCGGCGAAGTCAACAGTCCATCGAATCATTCGAGTTTGCTCCTGGACTAGGCCTTGTCGGTCGTGCATCAAATCAAGCAGGACCATATGATATCCTTTTTGATAGGTAGGTAGCTCACTCTACCTAGGAGCGCTCAGTAGGTAGTCGATCCGACTCTGCCTCACCTTACCTAGGACTAGGAAGTGGGTACCAGCTCTATCCATCTAGGCCTGTCAAACCTGATAGGTAAAGGCAGGTCATAGAATTGGACAGGCACAGCAGTGTCAACCGTGACAAGTTGGTCTTTGCAGGTACGGCATTATTACAGTAGGTTGACCTTTCTAACTACTTGGCCATGGGCAGCAAGCATTGTTCTGTTCGTAAGCAGAGAGTAAGGTGCCTTACCTACCTACCTACCTAGGTAAGTACCTGGGCTGCTAGGTATTATTACCATCTCTATTTTTCTTGATCAACCCTGTGCCTGTGCTTCGAGCCAACTTCTTTTTTTCATAATTGTTTATTATTTTATTATTTTCCATTATTTTATTCCCTTATTTTCCTTTTATTTTCTTTTTTTCTGGTATTTTCCCCTCCAATTTTTAATTCCATGCCTCCCTCTCCCGCATGCTGCGGCAGCTGCGCACCACCCCTCCATTGATCTAGCTTGCCTTCTTCAACTCAGGACAAAGGAGTACTAGAAGAAAAGCCTGCATGTCCTTTTTACTTGTAGACATATCCCCATCTATACATATTGTCATCAACTTTTGTTTTTTTTAATTATTTTCTTTTTTTAATTATTTTACCTTAATAGCTTCGGATGACTTGCGGGGATACAGGTACTTGAAAGAATTGACCCTCACGGGATTCGCTTGTTGCTGCTAGCATTMACTACCTATTGTCCAGAAAGGGACCTACTACCTATCTAACTACCTTACGCCGCTGCTACATACCACTGTTCTTCAACTTTCGTAATTCACATATCGTCCTCTCTGAATGCCTTCGGATTGAGCATGCATTATCTTTTATCCTCTTGGCTGTGGATTGTCCCGTCTTTGCTTTTTCTCTGTGGACGATTGACCGATTTCCCCTCCTATACTTTTCTCTTCAGACTACTTTAGCGGCCAGTCCGGCCTGTTCCTGGTTGGTATCTCTTCTGACTGTACTGCCGAATCTCCTCCCCATAGCCCTGTACCCTCCGCTTCTCTTCCAGATTCTCGCCCCCTCGCTAGCTCTTCCTGACCATGGATACGGAGAGCTCTCATACACAAGAGAATGAATTCGCACAGTCACCCTGGATGGATATTGGGGCTTTCCAGCCACCATCTCAGAACTCGCCCTCAATGGATTACTCAGGTTTTGGGTATGGCGTAATGCCGGTGGACACCTCGTACGGTGTTTCGATACCTCCTCCATATGCATCATTACCCTTGACGATGCCCTCAAATACATGGCCCAGCATGCTCACGACTCAACCACAATTCCCGGAGCAAGGCCTTGCGCCAGTTCCCATCCCGGCATCCGCAGCGCCAGTCACGCCGGTTCAACCGCCTCGCAAATCGTCCACCAGTGGCTCCACGCCTCGGAGGACTCTGACGGATGACGACCGTCGGCGAATGTGTCTCTATCATGAAGAACACAAGACGGCTAAACAAACTGACATTGGAGGTAAGCTTGCTGCTTCTTTGTTGCGCAACAATGACCGAGCGGGACTGACGAAACAATACACAGCCTTGTTTGGAGTAGAGAGGAGGTACAGTTTACCAGTCTTTTCATTGCAACTCTGCTGTTGTACGGCATGTGGGTATCGTCCATTCTAACGCTTACTTTTACGTCCCAAAGTACTGTTTCCAAGGTGCTTCGTCAGAAGGAGAAGTATCTTAATCCAGACGAAGGAAGTCGGTCACCAATTAAGCGAGCCAAGGGACGAGTTCCCGACATTGAAAAGGCTCTGTCAAATTGGGTGAGGAACTATCAAAAGCAGGGTTATCCGCTGAGCGATGAAATGATCAGAGAAAAGGCTCTATTCTTTGCTAGCACTTGTGGCAGTCCGGACGGCAAAGAAAAGGTCCTCACCCAAAGCTGGTTGGAGAAGTTCAAGCTGAAGAACAACCTGATGGGCGCGAAGTCTCGGAAGAGCTCATTTGCGAAAAGCGATTCAGAGAGCCCTACACGTTTGACTATTGATTCTGCTCTAGCTTCTGCCGTGCAGTCCCCTACTATGCTTTCTCCCACATCGCCCACCGGGTTTGCGTCGCCGTCACCGTTGTCTCCTATCATGAGCCCAGAGGCCATGCGCAAGGAGCTTGCAAAGAGCCTAGACGAGCTTGCTGAGGAGTATCAGCACAAACACGCGAAAAGCACCACCTCGCTCGATACGACTTGCTCGCTTTCTGCCAGTGTGACTAGCCCCACGTCCACATTGGTATCGGACAGTCCATTCACACCTGTCAGTCAGTCGCGCGGATCTCTCGCGGACGGCCAGTCGAATAGGCCGCGAAGCCAGACGCTTCCAACAGACACCGCCGACCCGGCCTTGATGTCCACAGAAGAATCCTCGGATCATTCGCTTTCTAAAGCGGCTTTGCAGCAATCATTGTCTATCGCGACCCTTGAGTCGCCTCTTGAGGACGAGCACACCTCGAAGAAGGGCCCCAGTCTCGATACATCGTCCAATACTATCAAGCGCAATCGCAGCAACCCTGAGATCAAGGCGAAGTCCATATACCCGCCCTCTTTTTCCAAATCGACAACCGTGTCACCAATCAGCTCCCCGGGATCTCCAACGCAGGATGAGGCACGAAGAGCTCTTGAGCTTGTGGTGTCCTATTTCGAGCACCAGCCAACGGGACTCGGCGCACAGGAGTTCGTGACCATTGGGAAATTGATGGAGAGACTCGAGCTCGCCAGGGCCCAGCAGACTGCTCTCCCGGGTGGTCTGTCTCGTATTGATGAACTTGAAGATGTTCCTCAACTGACCCAGAAACGAAGCATTCACAACCTGGGTTAGGCCGGTTTTCGAAATGGACGCCGACGGGACTCCCACTTGGCAACATGCGACACGCGAAATTTCGCAAACAACTTCGGCTGTCACTATCTCATTTTCCTATTCTTGAATTTTTACCTTCTCCCGTCATGACCGAGCTTCCCCCATCCTCAGATTATATCCCCTTGTTTTTGTTTTCCTGGGCGGTTGTTTTGTATTTGAGTTTTCGCACTACCCATGTCATATTCAAACGACCTGTTTCATTAAGGGGCTCGACAGCAGTTGAGCTGTGAGAAAAGCTAACGGATGATACACTTATACGAGAGGGCAACCTCGACTTCTACAACAATATATGCGGAGAGCACAGGGAGTGCTCTATTTATCGACCGACAGCATGGATATGGTGAACAGGACGGCTACCTACAGAGCTGGAGCTGGTAAAATCTGGATGTAATCATTTCTCGGTTATCACTTTCGCCTTGCATTTATGTGACTTCTCATTTCCTACCATTATTATCCACACTTAAACTGGATCGCTCACGCGGGCTTGCATTTGATTCCCATCGTTCCTTCCTCTTCTTACTTCATATCATCATGCGTTATCAGATTCATGGGGTTTGGTTGGTACTGGACAGGGCTAATAGGTTCTTGGGCAACAAGGAACGGAACCTTGTTCATGGATTGTTGTTTCTCTTGCATGTCTACTGTTTCCACGTCACTTTATCCACCTATCTGTATTGATTTCATTTCTTTCAATTCCATTGGGTTCTGATACCCTTAAGTTGTCCCTGTCAAATGACAGGTACGGTACCTTACCTTATTTATTGTGAGCAGTGAATTTGGTGCCTTGCCTTGCCTTGCCACGCCTCGTCTGCCACTCTCTGCTTCTCCGCTGGCAACGCCACAATGCTGGTTGTGTCTGGGTCTGCAGACTTTGACTGCTGGCCACTGTGCATCATCAAATTTGGGATTGGTCGATTGGGCCTGAGATTGTTTCGTACCCTATCATCTTTAATATGGACATGGGCTCATTGGCTCATCCTACTCCGTATAGGTCCTGCCATTTCCGAACTACCCTACATGGACAGGCTGCAGAGAGAAGCTAAGCCTCGAGTCGTATAGAACATGGTATCATTAATATGACCAGTATAATTACGCTGAAAAGCCTTACAGTACGATAGCGGTATTGACATGTTGGCACAGTCAGGCCGTCGAGTATGGGGAAGGAAAAATTGAAAAGGACTATGCCTCTGGAACTTGATCTGTGGCAAAGGCAATACCCCTGTCTTCCATGAGCTCCGCTATACTGTGGTCCGATAGCTCGGGGAGAAGCTTCACGAGAACTGTTTCAATGATTGAGTAGATTAGATGCTTGTTGCAATACTCGTCAGCGAAAAGGTCCAAAATATCACACTCAATTGCTTGCAAGATGAGGGACTCTTCAGTATCGTTGGGTGGAGTGGGTACAGGCGAGGATGCTCGGGAGGGTGGCTGCTGCGAGTCATCTCCCGTGGAGCCGTTAACGGTAGTCGGGCCAGAGGCATTGTCTGGAACACCAAAGAAGACCCGTGCGACTGGCCGAGGCACCAGGGACAGAATGCGTCTCGCGCATTCTCGCTTGATGGCAGCAATTTCTGGCGCAGAGGGCCCCTGGTTCTGAGCTAAGGATGGCGTTGGCGCTGAGGCAAGAGGTGCCAGCGTCGTCCTGTCAGCATTACCAGGGGTGATTGTATCACCAGTAGGGCCTTGTTGTGTAGGCGTAGGGGGCCGCACGGACAATTGCGGAGGCTGCGGAGCCGGAGCCGATATCCGATTTACATCTGTCGCTTGGCTTGGACGGGCATTTGATGGGAATAGCGCTGCCCTGGATGCGCGAAGCAAGTTGGGCATCAAGGTGGGGGTGAGGATATGGTCCTGAATGGTCTCGTGAAGGAACCTGGGTGGAGGATAGCCCGAATAAATTTTTCGGTCAGGGGTTAGCACTCATCAGACATGCAAATGAGAAAAGAAACATGAGGGATCAAGGATCGGATTGTGTAGGCAAATAAAAAAAGCGCAGAGGGCCTCAAGAAAGCAGCGGTAAACCCCAGACTGTGGAGAGGCGGTCGTATTCATCCGGGGCTTTCCTTCGGACAGAGCGCCTCGAAAAGGAAGAGTAAGTGGACGTCAATCAAGTCGAAAGTAACCATTTGTAAGGTTGCATGAGTGGAGAGCTAATAAGATCGCCTTGACTAGGGCCCGCAAATGTAGCAGAGGAGCTTGGGCCAGTTATTGTGACCAGCCTCAATGCTGAAGATGACGAGAATCTGATGGGAGAATGGAGGGAGACCACATTGCCATTTGTTGACGCGTATCATTCAGAGAGAAGACGGCAAGGCAGGCGTTCCCAGAGCGGAATTTACAGGCATGTTTAAACCCAACCAACCCAATGCCAGAGTGACCTCGGCCGATATTAATGAGATTTGAAATACCGCTGGAGAGGATTGAACTGATTGGCCCTGAGATGAAAAAGAAAAGGGGGTTGGTCTCGCCCTACCCATGCAAAAGTCCAAACGTTGCATGGCAGTTTAGTCAAGACTGTCAAAGATCGTCACAAATCACGTTGAGTATCGTGCCTCTTGGCGTTCAGTTGGAGAACGCAAGGCTTGAGGAGCACCCAATTGCGGCAGGGATATTGGATCAATTCGAAAATTGGGGTTGTTCCGGCGACACCATGGCCGCCTGCGGTCCAAATCAACAAGAAGGATTCTTCTTTCTTGTATCCTTTCTTCCGCTTTGATTTTCTTCCTCTTCTCTTCTCCGACCATGTAGTGACGACCCCTTTAACCTGGCATCGGATTTGCATGGAACGACTCGAAGTTGAGCGGCACGGAAAGGGCCGGCCCAGGCCATCTCTCAACCACCACAGCCATGACAGTGCGTAGTGGATAGAATAGATGAGAGATTGACAGGGGAATTCGAATTCGACACACGTTCGGCCTCTCCGAGCCAGCCACCAATCGGGGAGAAGGGGGATCACCAGGTCCCCAAGACGACGACCGCCATGTAGGCCCGGAAAAGCAAAAACACCATGCCTAATGATAGCATTCTTTTCAAGGTCGGAAACTTGATTCTCCTCATTTGTATGATTGGAGGACATTGAAAAGCGATTACGATCATAGGCTGATTCATAGGAAATCGGTCGGTCGGTAATGACAATACGGGTGTTGTAAGAAACCCATACGCGCCGGTCACCGTTTGTAATGACAATACGGCCAGGCATGGAGGTCGTCAATCGCAGGGCCCATGCGGTCGAGGAGCCGTCGCATCCACCAGTAGCGGATCAAGTGACCGATGCAATATGCGAGCAATGCAATTCCATTACTCCACTGCATCCTTCATCCCGCCGGGGCCCTCAAGACTTGAAACGCTCTGCCGATGAAGGAGACGCCAACGTAGATCATGGTTCGAAGATCGAATGGCATCGCTTCTCCACAGTCCATAGTCCACACCCTCTCTTGTAGAACCCAGAAATCGTAATGGAACGGCTCGTGACTGAACATCTCGCCCTCATAGCTGCTGGATGATGAATGGCGCATGGAGAAGAGTGGGAGGTATGTAAAAACTAACGAGATTGCGTTACTCACCTATCAAGGATACTGCCGGTCTCGMCCAACTTGCCTGGTCCCGCCAAAGAGAAATATTGGAAAAGCGCGAGAAAACCTGCCAGCCATGGCATTCTCCGAGGAATGTCCAGCATTTGCGAAACCATACTATAGATTCGATAATTGAGAATAGGGCGCTTCGTCGATGTGCCGCTCATGGGAGCCAATTTCTCGCTCTCGGAATTTGCTGGCGTTGTAGCAGCTGACGAAACATTCGCTTTCGCATTTGTCACCACGCGAAAGAGTCCTATCACGATGAACTGAAGAGCAATATAGGTTAGGTACAGATATTGCAGGATATTCCAGAGCCATGCTGGTCCAAAAGAGTGAATCTGAGAAGACGAGTGGTCAATGGGATCTTTGTTGATATTGAGCAGGCCGAATTTGTGTAGGCGATCTTGTTGGTGATCGTCTGCCGTGTCCTCCTCACGTTCATCAAGTCGTTCTGCTGTCGACAGGAGCTTGGTGGTAGTCTCCCACAAGAACCATCCCTGACACATCTTTTCGCTGACTGCGTTCCCAAGTATTAAATCTGCTAGTATGTCACCGATAATGGTCCGTAGAGGTACATTGTCCAAATCCTCCGTCGGGAGGAGGACAGCCAACATTCCATGGACCAGCAATTGCCGGTATATTGCCTCGTTCTCGCGTAGCTTCGCAATAGTCTGCATATCAGAGGGATCCGGAATCGGTGAAAGACTGGGATGTGGATGTAAGGCATGGTACGTCTCGCGAACAGAGGGAGAGAGTCCGGATAGTGTGCTTTCATCACGGGCCAGCCTGTACGCTAGAAAGTAATTTTGCGCGTGAGTATAGAAGACCGGCCAGCTGCCATAGGGAGATAATAAATTTCTCACAAATTATATGCGCCTCTATCAGACCAGGAACCTCGTCCAAGATCAACTGCGCAATGTCACTTTCACGCAACCTCTGCTCAAGAGCACGAGTACAGTGCGCGATCACTTGAATGACTTCCTTGACAAGGTTCTGATCCGATGTGATTTTCGAATACCATGAGAAGACGAATTCCTTGATGATTATGGCGATCAAAGCATACAATTGAAGATCAACTTCATTCGAACTCGTCAAAGGAGGTAACAGTTCTTCCAGTGGCTGTGGGGTTGAAGCACCTCCGCTTTGATTGCCCGCCTGCGGACAAAGAACGCGTTTTATCAATGCAACAGTTGCCTTGTCACTGGTGGCGCTAACCGGCTCATCGCGACTGACATTCTTTGATGATCGAGGCCGACGTCGAAATTGAGCAGAAGCCTGCAAAACGGACGAGTCTTTGAACGCGACTGGCTTGGAGCTGGAAGTAGTGGGCACGGCCTTGAGATGTGAAAGCGGAGTAAGACCCGGCTGAACAGATTCGCTGGTCATTTCATCCCAGTATTAACGTGAGAAGGGCGAAATTACATTCAAGATTTTATAGAGAGGTAAAGCAGGGTAAAATTAAAAAGGTACTTTCAGCCTCAGATCGAGACTGCCACCACCAGTGATGTGGACAATCCGACGATGAACAGCCATGCAGGTAGAAGCTTCTCAGCTCCAATCACAATGACGCGCAGCTCCACACTATGCCACCCCAATATGGAAAGTAGGGCTCAGGGCTGTGAGTTGGCGGCTGATTGCGCTCCCGATAAGACAACAAAGCCCCTTTTATCTGCGGTTCCCCGCACCTTATCAAGGAAGAGCGTCAAGGCGTTCGCATTTCGCAGTCAACAAAAACGCCCTGGGGTTTTGGGAGAAGCAAAAGTCTCCTGACCATTCTGCATTGTCCTTGCGAATTTCAAGGATGGCACCCTCCCTTGATAGCCCAATTCCTCTATGGTTGGATTGTGATCCTGGTCCGTAATCTTCTTCTATACTTGCCTTGGCCACATCGTTGCTGACCAGCTGACCCCAGGACACGATGTAAGTGCTGAACGCTGAAACGCGACATTCCTATCGGTTGCATGAACAATTTTGGCTAAAGACGAAATGTCTCAGGACGCATTCGCCATTCTGCTCGCTGCGCATCACCCGTCCTTGCATCTCCTGGGAATTACAACAATCCACGGCAACTCCTCTCTCGAGAATACGACGACTAACGCTCTAAGAGTCCTCGAAGCTATCGGTCGTCCAGATGTTCCTGTCTATGCCGGCAGCAGGAAGCCCTTTTGCCGGCCTGCAGTTCACGCTCCAGACATTCACGGTACGGCCCACGACCCCTCCGCTTCTATACTTGCGCCAGCAGTAATACGATGGCTGCAATGAGATACTAAGGGCTGACGTCGTAATATAATACAGGCGACTCCGGACTCGATGGAACTGATTTGTTACCGAAATCAACAAGGCTTCCTGTGACAGACACAAACGCTATTGTCGCAATGCGTGATGCTCTCATGGCACAGCCAAAGGGAACGGCTTGGGTTATCGCAACCGGTACCTTGACCAACGTTGGTTTGCTCTTCGCAACGTTTCCCGAGGTAGCGGCTCATATTCAGGGTCTTAGCATCATGGGCGGTGCTATTGGTGGAGGCTTCACAGATGCTCCCATGAGCCGACTGCCGGGGGAACATGAAAGAATTGGAAATGTGACACCCTGGGCAGAGTTCAATATTTACGTGCGTATATCAGTATCGTGTGTGATTTCCGGGTAATTTTCTAACATCGTGTTCCGTCAACAGTGTGATCCTGAGGCCTCCAAATCCATTTTCAGCAGTCCTACCCTGGCACCGAAGACAACAATGATCGGGTTGGATTTGACTCACCAAGTGCTTGCTTCTTGCAGTGTGCAAAACCGCATTCTCCATGGATCCGGTGATCCCACCCAAACGCCCTCGGTCCTCAGGAGAATGATGCACGCCCTGCTTGTCTTCTTTGCTCAGACCTACGACACCGTCTTCGGCTTGTCGTCCGGCCCTCCGCTTCACGATCCGCTCGCGGTGGCCGTCGCTATCTCAAATCTTAACCCGACCTTTGCGAAAAAGCACCCCGACAAGGCCTTGAAGTTCAATGACAAGAATGGTGAGCGGTTTGCTGTCGACGTGGTCACCGATGGCATCCATTCCATGAACGTGTTGGAGACTGGACAGCTAGGCCGTACACTAGCTACTCCAATGGGCGGACACGGAGTAGCTATCCCCAGAGGAGTAGACCTGGAGGCCTTTTGGGGTTTGATCTTGGATTGCCTCGAGCGCGCCGATGAATGCAACGCTGCGCGAAAGTCATGATGGTCCGAGTTGCACAATACTAACCTTTGTCTTTAGAACTATGAGAAAGCGTATATAGACCCTCTGGCATTTATTAGACCAATGGTGATAGAGTATTTTTATTTGAGTACGGGAGATTTGCCGTGCGAAGTTCTCCCGTGCTGATGACTAGAAGGCTACAATATTCTCGCTTGCATCGGCTCACATCACGTATTTGTCATTTCCATCAGTCTATAATTCAATGTACCGCTATTCAAAACAAGGCGAATGAACCGCATCTTCAACCAATACGTGCATCCACGCACTCCGATTACCATTCACGAATACCGCCATCGGGACCGAAGAACTCCTTGCATAGCCAGGGTTCCGACTTCAGAGCGACTTGCCGAACAACCTCCTCGTTGACCTCAATGCCCAGCCCCGGAGCCGTCAAGGCATCAACATAACCATCCTTAACCTCGAAGACACTAGGATCCTTCACGTAGCTTGTGATGTCATACTCGCCCGCCTCCGTGTTGTAGTGGATTCCCAGACTCATCTCCTGGATCACAAAGTTGGGCGTAGCGAGATCAACCTGCATACAGGCCGCCAAAGCAATCGGACCTAGCGGACAATGAGGCGCAATGGCAACATCATACGTCTCCGCCATGGAGGCAATGCGCCGCAGCTCCGAGATCCCACCGCAATGGCTGATATCCGGCTGAAGAATGTCGACGCTCGCGTCCTCGAGGAACCGCTTCACGTCCCAACGGTTGTAGAGCCGCTCGCCTAGCGCGATGGGGCACGAGACCTGATCCGCGAGCTGCTTGATGCCCTCCGGGTGCTCGGAGAGGAGAGGTTCCTCGAGGAACAGCGGCCGGTGAGGTTCGAGGGCTTTGGCGAGCTGTTTCGCCATGGGCTTGTGCAGTCGGCCGTGGAAGTCGAGGGCGGCGTCGAGGCCGAGGGCCTTGACGGCCTTGAGGCGCTCGACGCATGAGTCGAGCACACTGGGCGAATCCAGCCAGTTGATGTCTTCTGTAGCGTTCATCTTGATCGCTTTGAACCCCTGCGCTAGCCGTGCTTTGCCCGCGGCTTCGACCTCGCCTGGACGGTCTCCGCCGATCCAGGCGTAGACGGAGAGCTTGTTCCTGACTTTGCCTCCAAGGAGCTGATGGACAGGGACGCCTAGCCGGCGGCCCTTGAGATCCCAGAGCGCAATGTCAATGCCGGAGATGGCGGACATGAAGACCGGCCCTCCGCGGTAGAATCCGAGTCGCCAGGCCATTTGCCAGATGTGTTCGATATCACTGCAGCCAGCAAAATCAACCGGTCAGTAGATGGGGCTATGACGGACAGTAATTTGAGCACATACTCTGCTTCGTAGCCCTGGAATCTTTTGCACAATGCATTAAGCGTCCCTTCCACGGCTTCGGTATGGCCTTCAAGCGTACTCTCACCCCAGCCATATTGGCCCTCTTCGTCAACAATCTTGACGAACAGCCATCTGGGAAGGACACGGAAATATTCAATGCTCTTAATCTTGACCATGGTGTCGACTTCGGCAGGGAATTGCGGGGAGAGTTTGGGATAAGGAGCTTCTCGTCTCGATGATCAGACGAAGATGCGGCCTTGCTGGAAGACAAAATAAAAGCGGACAGAAGTAGATGCAAATGACCGATCACCTGTAGCGAGAAAAATCAATAATGTAAAAGAGCCTCATATGACCATTACCCCCCATTCCCCTCTGGACGTGGGGGTGGGGATCAAGCATGTCGGAGTTCCTCCGCTCTTGGATACCGATTGCCGACCGTGGGATGATTATATAGGAGCCCTTGGCAGCTGTTTCAGAAGTCAACCCATTCTGAAGTCAGGATGGAGCGATTTGTGGGTAAACCTGTTGTAAGGAACCGAAATCCATGGAGCGAAGTGTCCCTGGATGCAGGAGTAACCGTTGGAAATATTACCCATCTCGCATGGCATCCCTTGAACTTTCCAATGAATAAGGCCACTTGACGCGAGTATACCACTCTCCAAGGAAAGAAAATATGTTGTGCAGAGAGGCTGATTATCAATAATATTAATATGCTTGGTAGTCCTGGACACTGTGGTTCAGTTCATGCCAGCAGATTAAATCCCCATATTAGCGATCAGACAGTCACCAAGCAAGCACTCGGGACAGCATACAAAGGCCACGATTTAGACATGCAGAGGAGATTCAAGTGTTAGAGCATGATAATTGTGCCTCGAAGGAGACCCAGTAGCTATAAGTAGAGTTGAATCGTCGTAGAATAATCTCTGGAATCGATAATTTCTATGGGCCACTACTTTGTTACCTACAAACCGGCAGCAACGTCAACAACCAAATTACTGGCATCAATTATCCAATCAGCCATTCCTGGCATATTTCGTCATTTCCAGTTTGGATCATCTGAAGTCTTTCACCTCCAAGAGTACCCGACAGCTGATCGCTACTGGGAGTCATGATGGAAACCGTCGGCTGAGGGGAAATCCGAAATGGGAAAACGAGGCAAAATACGGAGATTTCCTGGTCGCCTTCACATCAGTTCCATTCATTCGTTCCTCTATCTCTCGATCCCCTCGTCATCCAGCGTCCATTTATTCATCGCGATCTATCACTATCTCAAAGCGCCTCATCCTCACTCTAAACTCCCAGTCATTCCAACCGTAAAGAGAGGCTCGCATGCCTCGTCCACCTCATCGTCCTTCCAATCGTCCTCATCGTCTTCTGCCTCTCCGTCCCAGTCTCCGTGCGCGATCGATAGGTCAACGGCGGGCTTGTCAACCTCCGCAGGGCTGATCTAGAAGGACCATGCCCCCAGAAAATACTCCCTCGGTAAGTGCCTGCGTTTGTCCGTAACTCTATCAAGGGTCCATATCCTGTGCCTCGTCTGCCTATGACATCTTGCGCCCGGTCATCAACTCCACTATACTGCACGTGGCACGATTCGATGTCCTGGCCTTCGTTCCTGGGCCGCATTACCTAGTTTGACCTTTTGTGTCTTCGTTTCGTCACCTGTGCTCATCGATTTGCGTTCTCGGACAGCAAGGAAACTCTGCTCGCTCTCCTCCGCCGGTATTCGCATCATCCCTACAACAGTTGAGCGCTGTCTCAACCCCTGTCCCCACTCTCCCAGCGGCCGCCTCGCATGACGCTCATGATGACAACGTGATCTTCCTTCGATCTCG